TTTGTTGCCCTTAATGCAGAGAAACTAAAGCAGATACCTTAAAGCAACTGAGGCCAATAGGAAAAGGGGACCAGGAACTAGAGAAAAGGTTAGATCAAAAAAAGAATTAACCTAGAAGGTAACACCCACGCACAGGAAATCAATGTGAGTCAATGCCCTGTATAGCTATCCTTATCTCAACCAGCAAAACCCCTGTTTCCTCCTATTATTGCTTATACTCTCTCTACAACAAAATAGAGATAAGGGCAAAATAGTTTCTGCTGGGTATTGAGGGGTGGGGGGGAGAGGGGAGGGGGCTGGAGTGGGTGGTAAGGGAGGGGGTGGGGGCAGGGGGGAGAAATGAACCAAGCCTTGTATGCACATATGAATAATAAAAGAAAAAAAAAAAGTGTTAATCATAATCACCACCATTAATAGCTGCCCCTCAAGTGACAAAGAAAGTACTCTGCTGCAGTCAAATGCAAAGTACAAAAGAATAGTCTTACCTTACGATTCTGATCATAGGCAGAGTCAATCCCCACAATGCTGTTCACTTCTACATATGGATATTTCTTCTCCAGGACACTGACCACATGTTCAACTTTTACTTTTTCTCCAGTCCTCACCTTGTTGTAGATCTGAAGAAAGAAAAACAGGGTAACTGCTATACTTTTACATTGACATTTCAAAGTGTTCATTATGAAAGATTGAAGAAAATGACTATTTTTCTTAAAAGTCAAATTAAATATATTAGCAATTCTTCCATTCTAATATACCTTATTAAGATGCCTTTTTAGGCTACAAACTAAGTACTTCTTTAAATGATCTAATTAACGCATAGTCACATTAAGTCCTAAATGCAAAAAATGCACAAAGAAAATCTGAAGCCAGATGTGGTAGCACACACCTGCAATCTCAGCACTTAGGAAGCTGAGACAGGAGAATCCCAAATTCTAGGCCAGCCTGGGCTACATAGCAAGACCTGTCTCAAAACAACACAGAATAACAAACAAACATACAAAACCTCATATCTATGATATTTAGGGTGAAAATTCCTGAAAAAATATGTATGGCATAATACCTATTCTTTTTAAAACAGATCAAAAACAACAGAACTGTATCTGTACATTTTTTTTTCTTTCCTTTTTTTGGTGATACTGGGGCTTGAACTCAGGGCCTTCGCCTTGAGCCACTCCACCAGCCCTTTTTTGTGAAGAGTTTTTTGGACATAGAGTCTCGTGAACTATTTGCTTGGGCTGACTTTGAACCACAATCCTTCTGATCTCCGCCTCCTGAGTAGCTAGGATTACAGGCAGAAGCCACCAGCACCCAGCCTGTGTCTGTACATTTGAAATCTGGAATGATGCAAGGCAACTCTTTAGTGATGTCTATTTTTAAGGAAGATCAGGAAAGGAAGAGGGGTGAAATAGAAACTTTTAAATGGGCACTAATATTTTTGGATTATTTTTATAGTGAACATGTGTACTTTTTGTGATTAAAAATTCCACAAAAAAAGTGAAAACTTGCATTATTTTTTTCCTACATACACATATCTAGGAGGGGGAAAAGTTTCAAGAGCAGACTTTAGCATAATTATTCTGACTTCTATTTCTATTTCATTCATTGGTAGCCCTATTGCTAACTACCTTCCTCCTCATCAATTCTCATGGAGATCCCCCAACAGCCCTTCAGCTAGAATCCCACCACTCTGTGCCCTTCATCAGGTCCATCTCCATACTGCTGCAGAGTATTTTTAAGCTTCAGTCTGCCTGCTGTGCACTATACACCCAGCAAACCAACCTGTAGAGCCCTTGAGGACTAGCTTCTTCCTCTCCTTAGCTCTCAGTCTCTTGCTCTTGCTCACACCACACTAGCAACTTGCTATCACCACCTCTAATTTGCAACCTGGGGAAGTACTTCCATGTTCCCTGCTAGACTCAGCTGGGACAACTTCCCACTATAGAAAAATACCCATGGCCATCGTAAGGATGAGCAAGGGCCCTCAGATTACACAGCCAGTTGTGCTCTCCACACCAGATGACACCATCTGTTTGGATGTGTTTTCACAAGGTTGTAAATAAGATTTGTGAGGACAGGGCTACATCTTACTATTCTTTGTATCCCCCACAGCTAGTACCAGATCAAGAACATGTCAGCCTTCAATATATATTTTCTAGGCTGGGGGGAGGAGGTGGTGGCTCAAGTGGCAGAGCACCTGCCTAGAAACTGCAAGGCCCTGAGTTCAAACCCCATCCACCAAAAAATAACTGAATAAATAAGTATTTGTCAAATAAAGAAATAACATTCTAACTAACAATAAATGACACAAATGCATCTATAGACAATAAACATAACAATTAATAAACTACATCTTATTTATGGGTAAAAATGGTTAAATCAATTGCTTTAAACATGTTTTTTTTTAAGTTACCATTAATCTGAAAACAAAAGAAATGCTACTTATAAAGCTGTCTATCCTCAAAAACAGAAAGGGAAAAAACCCAAGAAAACAAGGACAAGTCTCTGTTTGAAATTAAGTAAATTCCTTAAATACATGCAGGGCATTTTCACAGTTTCCAATAAAACCTGAAAAAAATCAGACTGTGAATAAGAATTTTATGACTTGAATACTAAAATAAGTCCTAATTTTAAGACAGCATAAGATAGTCTCAAAGCAGAAAAAAATCTAAATATTTTTGAACAAGTAGAGAATATTACATTTGTCAGAAGGCATTAACTAGTGATTTCAAATCACCAAGGGAAAGAGACTAAGATGCACTCATCTGCCTCCTGAAGAATCCTAGCTTAGCTGCAATCACCTCAATCAGCAATATTAACATCAGCAAATCAATAAAGTAACAGCAACCCAAGATATGAAACACGGCATTTATGTGTGTAACTTAACTCTTCCTCCCTACACAAATACAGAATCCTCTTACCACATGTTGTGTTTTAGAGTAAATTAAATTAACATAATCATATGCCATTTTGAACAAAAACATACATGCGTCAGAGTTTGGAAGGCGTGATAATCATCCACTTCTTGAACAACATAATTATATGCTCGAAGAATAGCCACTCCGGCATCCTGCATCCCATCAACATCTTCAGAGTCATCAACCACAAAGATAAAACCAATTCTGGACAGGAGAAAAAGAAAAAGAAACATCTTAAAGAACAAAGCCAGCTGAAGGTGCTGGCATCCCTGTGATTCTCTCAGGTATTGTGACTAACAGAGGACAACTATCCTAGTAAAGAGCACAGTTCACATCCTACGTGTTTGGCAAGTGCCCACATTATGTACAAAATAAAAGAGCGGGTTCTCAAGACAGCATAGGCTTTTCAACATTTAAAGCTAGCTGTTTCAGAGTCATGAAAAGACTAACATGAAGGGTGTTGCTACAGTTTTTACATAGACATTTCATTCCGCTTTTAAACAAAAATAAGCATGGCTCAAGTGGCAGAGCACCTGCCTAGCAAGCACAAGGCTCTGGTTGTAATCTGGTCATTAACTCCCCCATTTTCCAAATGGTATTTATGTTTTGTATGAAAATACACTCATTCCACTCAAAAATCTCTGCTTTACTGACTGACATCAAAACCCTCCATTAAGCAAGGCGCCAGTGGCTCACGACTGTAATCTTACCTACTAGGGAGACTAAGATTAGGAGGATTGAGGCTTGAAGCTAGCCAGACAAATAGTTCACAAGACCCCATTTTCTAAAACACCAGAGCAAAATGGCCTGGAGGTGTGGCTCAAACAGTAGATTGCTTCCTTTGCAAGTGGGAAGCCCTGAGTTCAAGCCCTGTTTTGTTCAAAGCCTCTGAGAAATCTAACTTGTCCCTGATAAAGTACTTGCAACTACTGCAACCAAACTTAGCACTCAGGACCCTCTTACAGTGCTTGCAAGTATGCAGAAGATTCCTTCCAAGAAAGTAATTAGTTCAGTGCAGGGTAGATAATGTTGTTCATTAAAGACTTCTTTTCTTCTTTATGTTTCCTGATTTCTAAGAATTCAAAATTTCATCAACATGTGAAACTACCATAATATTTTCAGAATGTAAGTGAAAATATCTTAACATTGATACATAAAATCTTGGAAACATTATTCATGAAAGGAACAGTGGAAACCCAGCCAGAGTATCCTGCTGTTATATTTGGCAACACAACTGAAATGAATATGCCTGTTGGCATCCACAAAAGGCTATGCAACATTCTGTAACACTCAGTCTTTGACAGTCTAACAACAGCTATTAGTAAAGCTATCTACCTCTGCTAAAAGTAGAAACAGGCTTTGTGATGTGGACATGCACTTAGGAAAACTCACTTCTACTGTGAAATAAACAAAAGACCACAAACTATTTTCACATGGGCTAGTTATTAAGAATTCAATGGTGGTAAGCTTCTATTCATTAGGAATCAAATTCTCAGTCCCCAAAGATACTGGCTTCATACCAAGTGGAAGATAAAACTATTATGGATCCAAACTATTAATTACCCTACCACCCAATAGCACCAGACTTGCACCTCAGAATAACAAACAAAACCACTGTGAAATTAACTATATCATCAAACTGATAACCAATGTTACCTTAGTGGTATATGATTACTGAGGAACATCTCTGCTGTGTTAATCAATTCTGCTGTGGTTTCATGTGCAGGATCAACTATAAAAACCTATTGGGGGAAGGGAAGAGAAACCATGAAATGATATTCATTCAAATATCCTTAGGCCAATAGAAATGCTGTTAGTCATTGTACATGAAGCCAACCTTTTTCCACATAAAAAAAGAATTAGGAAAACAACAGTTGCCTGTGTCTATGTTCTAAGAATGCAAGTAGTAGTTGAAGGCAAGGTACTTTTCTCATGGATTTCTTCTGGTGATACCTGAATGGTATTCCAGACGGCTGACACCTATGATAATCCACTAAACAAAAACCAAGTTTTATTGACTCTCCCACTCTAGAAAATGGAGACTGCCTTTTATTGTATATTCACTTCCCAACTCATACCACTATAATAACCATCATGTATTAAGCCCTCACTATGTACTAAGCAACTCATATATATTCACTAATTTAATAAAGTTCACCCACAGGAAGAACAAGACTGAAGTTTTGGAAGGAAAAAGGTGATTTCAAGAGTGAGAAGAGTAAAGAGGGCAGTTTCCCATGCAAGTTCCAATCCAATCTTGGCTCCAACCTGCCTCCATGTCTTCTGTAGCTATGAGAGGGAAGAGAAAGAAATGAGAGGGAAGAGGGACCAGGTAAGAACCTTCTTTCTTGAAGTGAGGAAAACAATTAGGAGCTGACAAAAAGACTTATTTAAGGGATTAAATTGAACTACTAAATTGGAGGGATTGAGATATTAAAGTAAAACAGTAATAATATGCACATTCTAAAAAGTAAAAAGAACTGTCTTAAAACTTATGTAACATTGTTGTAAACCTAAAACTGCTCTAGAAAAATACAGAAACTAAAATGACGGAGTCTAAACTTTCAAATTGCAGATGGAGAGCATCTCCTCACACAAATCCACTATAGCACAGCCCTATAAAACAGCAACGCATTCCAAAGCCTTTTTGTTTAGACATTTTGCTGGTGGTAGTGGGTGGGAAAGCAGCTAACAAATGAGAGAAGAGAACATTCCATATTGGACAAAAAAGTAGGGGAGAAAGCAAAGGAGAAACAGTTATGATGAGATGACCAGAAGAAGTTTTACTTACCATATTATGCAAGTTTTTTCTGATCTGCCGGATAACACCAGGAAAGGTGGGTCGAAGCAACTCTTGTAGACTAGAAGGCCATGAATTATATCTGCTGTCAACCTCCAGGTTGTTGACCCACTAGTAAAAAAATAACACAACATGGCACATAACGTTTAGTTACCAATTAGTGAAATATGCTGTTAAAAACAATAAGACTTTAAATTAAGAAGAATCACATAGGACATGAACACTTTCAAACACACAAAGACTGAGTAAAAAAATGAGTAACCTATTTTGGTTACTCAAGCTACAGGACAGGTGAAGTTATTTAAAATCGACAAAATCAATAAAGGACTAATACTAAGAAATATCAAAACACAAGCAACCCACAGGAAATAAGAATATGAATAAGAAATCCACAGAGAATCCAAATGGAGATATACACCCATTATAATTTGGAAAATATAAGCTAAAACCACAATGAAATTTCACACTCACTAAATTGGGAAAACTTAGGTTTTTCAGTATCCAAAAATAGACAAATACACAGAGCAACAGAACTGTCACCCACAGCCATCACAGAACACTCACTTTAGAGAAACAGACCAAATTAAAGACTTGGTTAATACCACTAAATACTCCACATCTATGTATTTACCCCAAATGAATTCTCACATGTAAGTCCAAGGAAAGAGCTATGAAAAGAGCCATTACGGCACCATTTACAGCAGAAAAAAAAAGAACAATAATAAACAGTATGTACCTATCATTCATATATATATATATATAAATGGGGATAAAGAACTATGTGTATATTTCCTTGCTCATGTATGCTCATGAATACCCAAATACATTTTTTGTTTGTTTTTTCTTGAAACAGGATCTCACTATGTAGCCCAGGCTGGCCTCGATCTCGAGATCCCCCTGCCTCCACCCCACAAATGCTGGGATTATAGGCCTGCACCACCATATCCAGTCCCAAAGAACTGTTAATGTTAGGGAGAAAAATGATGGCTGAATGATTCAACTAAATACCTTCTGAACATCTTAAATTTTAAGCTAGGAAAGTATAAATGATTTTCTAAAGAAATAAATAAAACATTACACAATGATGTTATAATCTATCTACATGTATCAACCTACAAAAAATTTTAAAAACCTGTTGAACAAAAAAGAAGGTCTTGTGACAAAAGGCATAATTTAAAACTATTAAAACATTTTAATTAATAACCTGAAGGACTTTAATGATTACCTCTTATATGTGATCCCTATAAAGAGATTGTGGTAGGTGGCACATACCTCTAATCCCAGCACTCAGGACACTGGAATGGGGGGATCTCAAATTCAAGGATAGACTGATTTACATAGTGAGACACTGTTGCAAAACACAAAGCAAAACAAAAGGCAATATGGGAAATGGCACCATTGTGGACAGTCATGGTGAAAATGAGGTCAGATTTGTCAAATACAAAAAGGAAGTTGAGGGATGCCAGCAGAGCACTGGACTGTCCAAATATTTAAAATGTTTAATAGGACACAAAAGGGTAAAATAAGGGATGGGAGAATGCACATCAACTTCAGAGAGGAATTACTTGCAGGGAGGAGAGGGGTAGAACTGGGAAAGAATAAAGGAGAGCTTCAATTGAAACATTTTCCCCCTCCAAGAAAACAACATACCAGTCATCAATGATTATTTAGTAAGAATGGTGATTAGGGTTGCTAATCTCTATGTTAACATAGAAATATGCCCTATTTATGCTATTCTCTTTATTCTATATAAGTAAAACCATTTTAGCAGAAAAATAATAGTACTCATCAAAATGTGTAACAGTTATATCACCAAAGTAAGAACTCAAGCAATGATAATACACAATCTACATTATTTCTCTTTCAATAAAATTTCTCTAAAATAAATGCAGCTCAGAAACCAAAAAAAAAAATTTTCCAAAAGAGACTGGGGTTCCTAGGGTCAGCCAACCACATCAGCTCTACACTGATCTCATTTTTACCATGACCACTTTCCATATTCTCTATACAGATGACAACGGCTCAGAGATCACATAACAGGTAATAATCAAACTTCTGTTAAATAAGGTATTTACTAAGAATACATATTTTAGTAGTTTAACTCATACATGTTGTCACAAAATCACACAAAACCCATATGCAACTACAAAAATATAAACTTCACACTTTTTCCCAAGATGTACAGCTGAATCCTAGGCATATACCACCATGAAAAAAACTGCTATCTTAATTTCATTAGCAACATGAACTCAACTTATTGGAGCATTTAAGAGCCTACTTCATTATATATACACAGTCCCACATAAATAGTTGCAATCTCTGACCCCAACAAAAGAGATGGAATAATTTCACTTTCATAAAACAAATGAGATGGCTATAATAAAGATGTCTGGCCAGAATGCCTCAGCACCACTCCAAAGGAATACTCACTGAAATAGCAGAACTCCTGATGTCCACTGCATAGTCGGCCTCAGAGGGCTGGATGTTCAGCTTCAAAATATTATGCAGAGAAAGGCCTTCTATTCCTAGTCTATGCAGACCCTCCATTACCCGGGCTTCATTCCTCAGTACATCAAAGAGACTGAAAAAAAATTAAAAAAAAAAAAAAAAAAAAAAAAAAAAAAAATATATATATATATATATATATATATACATGGAATTTAGTAGAGCTGGAGATTTAGGTCAGTGGTACTGCACACCCCTGGCATATGTGAGGCCCTGAATACAATTCCCAGAACAGGCAAAAAAAAAGTAACATGTACCTCATAGTATTTAGTAGAAAAAAACTTTTTAAAAATCCTCACCATGAAAAAAAACCTATAAGCTCTAACTCAATGCCAAACCACAGCAATTGAGGAACAATGAGGATCTCTTCTCATTGTTCCATCTTGCCAAAGTACCCAGGACAGAGTGGGGAACACATGCATCTTGGTTCCTGTTTATCTATACTTCTCAGTGTACATAGAAATTATCATCTTTAACTATAAACACAAGTTGAAGATAAGCCTAAATCTGGTATTTTATAATGTTTTTAAAAGTAATGCATTAATCTCCCTGTATTGTCTCTTATAACTGCAGGTGAAACCATAATCAGCTCAAAATAAAAGGTTAAAAAAATCACACCACAGCGTGAGGCCCTGAGTTCAATCATCCTGTACAAAACAACAACAACAAAAAGAACACTGCCCACAAAAAAGGGACAGTATGTTACATATGTTCAATGCATGTTTCAATATCAATATCAGCTGACCAATATCATGTGACACACACATGACCACAAAAAAGAATCTGGAAAAACTGTTGGGGAGACAGAAAAGACAGAGAGGGGATGAAATAAAACAGTTTGAAACTTTACTTTTTAGTTTCTTTATCTCCATATTTAAATTTTTTATAATAAGTAACACTCAGTTTGTAATATCTGAAAAAAATAGATTGTATATGTTTTTAATAAATCACTCACTAAAAACACTATGGACAATCTTTTAAAGTATCCATATCCATTTTACTAACTTATCACTAGCTTTGTAATGCAATAAATTGGCATAAAAGCTTAATTAAAATAATCCATGTGAAAATATCTTCAAATTTTATTTTTGAATTGGCATATATCATGTGAAAATAATTTATGATAAGAACTACTTCTCCTGAAGCATTAACAATTGCTTTTGTTTTTAGTACAATGGAGCCACAGTGTCAACTGCAATAATTTTTATTCCAAGGATAAAATCTGAATTCTACCTGACTGTCCAAAATCATGTCTTCCCAAAATCATGAAGACAATTCAGAGCTAGTTAGTCTTGAGCTACATTTTAAGAACAACAACAACAAAAAAAGTAGGTGTTTAAATAATAATGCATCCTGAGACACCAGAGATAGCATTATGAAGAAACCTACTTCACACCTCCCAGAAGCAAAGGAAGCTGTTCTTTTCCCTTTCGATAATTAACAGGGAAACTGTTACAGGCATCCTCAGAAAACACTTAGGCCTTGCACATACATTGTGATTCAAGATGATGACAGGTCACACTGCCCACCCCCATCATAGCATGGGCCAACCTCCATGCTCTCAGTGAAGTCTGGTAAGCAATCAGACTTTGCTTATGCATATCAAAGAGGAACAATATGTGAATACATCACATCATAAGAAGCTACACAATATTATAAAATCTTATAAAAAGAAAAAAGAAAAAATTATCCACACCTGAATATATCTTGTGTATCTAAATCAATATGAAGTCCATTGATAAAGAGAGCTGAGTCTCCAGGCTGTAATCCTAAAGTTCCCTTGAAATACTGAAAAATAAAACAGAGTAGTGAGATTTTTAACAAAACTTTCTGTGTTGGTGGTCTTTATTGCCTGTACAAATTCTGTCATACAATAGTGCAAAAGCTGGCCTTTTTACATTTCTGTTTCTTATTTCCTTGTTTGTGATGTTAAACAAGGCTGTGATGTAGTCAATAACAGACCCCTGGATGAAGTCCAAGGATCAAACCAAAAAGCATTTCAAAGCTCCATACCTCACTTAAACCTTCAAATAACCTCATATAAAGAAACTTTGGGTTGCTATGCTGAGGACAGTGCCTCACACTACCAATCCTGACAAGGCCTGGCCTCTGTGGGGGCCTTTCACCTGCTGCTCCCCAGATTATGGCAGCCCTGCACATAGGCAACTGTGCTGCCCAAGATGTGTCTGGGCCAATTAAAACACTGCCGTGACTCCACGTTGAAACTTCTGTTGAATAATGTACTTTCTACTTAATTTCTTTCTCCCAAAAGAAACTGGAACTCTTACTTCTATATTCTACACCATAGGGAGCTACACCACACAGAAGAAGATCAAAGGAATTAACCAGACATCAGGAACAGAATTTAATCCCTTAGTAACACAGAGCTGAGAGGACAGAGACGGTGAGCAGGCTGCCTTCTCCAAGTGTTAGTGAGTAAAGGAAAAATGTAATTTTAAGATCTAAAATTAGATGGGGAAGAAAACAAAACAATGGGGAAACCATACTCTTGTACTAAATGGCAAACAAGATAGGGGATAAATAATATCAACATATTTGTTTCAAAACATTGTGTTGTACATCACAATATATGTCAATTAAACAAACAAAAAAGATGAGGGAAACAGAGTTATGTCAATGAAAAAGTGAAATTTCTTCCATGGGAGGAAACAACTCTGTCTCCTCACTTGGGCCCTTTGGATGATAAGAAAGATTGACTGAACTAGTAAATACAGATCATATGGACTTCTAGATTTGAATCCTAGTAACATAGGTGGGTTCACTCTGAGAAAACTCATCACCCTAAAGATTTAGGATTTGTGCACACTTTTTATGTGTTTCAGATTTTTTGTATGTATTTTCTATGTATTTTATGCATATTTAATAAAATGTTTTACTCAAAAGATTAGGTATCCAGAAAATACCAATACAGCTTGGTTCTGTCTTCCTTGGGGTGAAAACCCCTAAAAATAAAGCAATTCTTAACACTTGATAACACTATTGTGTAAATTAAGAATTAAATATAAACTATCTATCAGGTTAGTTTGCTAAATATTTAGAAATATGTGGTTTCTTTATTTCTCCAATCTATTTAGTTAACTAGTATCTTATACATAAGGATTAAAGAAATCTGAGAATAAAGACAGTGAACTGAACACAAGCATTTTTTTTTTCCCTTCTGAAATTCTACTGAACCGTCAGGAAAGGGACCTTTTCAGTTAGAAATCCGTGGGGCAAAAAGAACAGAAAATGACATGGCCAACAAATTTCAGAAGCCAGAATGGGGAGGGATGAATACTAACTGTCCTAATAGTCCCAAGAAAAATGAAAGCTTGCCAAAGGTGAGAAAGGTCAACAAGAATCCCAAGTTACCCTGTGGAGCTCACCAAAGGCATGATCAAAGAGGGTGACAGAATCCCAGCCAGAAGACTATTTTCACTGCTCCCTACCCCAAGAAAATGGAGACTCAAGGCCTGGAAATTGCAAAACACAGATGTGTGAGCAGTGGATTATCGACTAAGAGCAGGAGCCAAGTGAAAATAGAGGACTGAGGGTATGAGGGCATTACCAAATGCTCCTCTTTACTGGGGCTCTGTAACCCTGAAGCTAGACTGTAGACTTCAAGCAGAACTTACCCCTTTGTTGAGAGGTTTCTATTAGGTGCCATTTGTATATTTATTTGTTTGTTTGTTTTTGAGATGGGGTCTTGGTATGTTGCCCAGGCTGGTCAGGAACTTCTAGGCTCAAGAGGTGATATTCCTGCCTCAGTCTCCCAATTAGTTAGGGTTACAGACACAAACCACTAAGTCTCGATTAGCTTTGGATTCTTCTTTTTTTAATTTCCAAAAGCTCTGGGGGCTGGGGATATAGAGCACTCAGCTAGCATGCCTAAGGCCTTGGGTACCAGCACCCTGCCCCCAGCACCCTGCTCCCCACCCCCAAAAAATCCAAGAGTGGTGGCTGCTCTAGGATTCTTCTTTTCAAGTTCTCATGCCTCTCTGAAGATCTCAATGGTGCTGTTTTCTTCACTCTGCAATATCTACTTCTACTCAGCTGCCTTTCGTGGATGTGCAGGTCTCTTGTCTTTAGTGTCTGAAGCTTTCCTCAGGTGTCTGTTGATCTGTGGACAGCTGCTCATACTGAAGTATGAGATGCTAAGAAGCTAATAGGGGTGTTCAGTCTATAGAACCCAAGGTTCCCTAGGAAATGACCATACCAGGATACCCTGTAGTCAGAAGCCTCCTTGGGGCTTCAAATAAGTTTTTTCGAATTACTGGGGTCAAAGAAAGGGTCACACCAAAAAAAAAGAAAAAAAAGGTCACACATGATTCTGTAAAGAAAAACCAAATCTCATACAAAGACTTCAGACTTTTCAAAAGCTCCAGTGGAAATCAAAATTCCAAGAAGCAACACATTCAAATTTCTAAATGACTTCCAATCTAGAATTGTATCCCTGGCCAATTAACCAATAAAGTGGAAAACACATGTAATGAAGTTTCAAATTCACCTCCCATGAAACATTTTTCACAAAGATTGTTATGTTGCATCAAAAGAAGGGAGCAAATCAAAAACAAAGAAGACATGGAATCCAAGAAAACAGGTTAAAGGCAAGCCCCAGATACCTGATATGTATACAGCAACTAGTCCAAATTAGAACAGGTCAGAATTGGACAAAATCACAACATAAAATACAAGGAAGCTGGTGATGGACTAAGGAGGCTGAGGAAAGAGGAATACATTTGAGGCCAGCTTGGGTTACATAGCAAGATCCTGCCCCACCCCCATATATATGTTTATATTTATATGTAAAGCTACATATATGTGCATTTAAATCTAAAAAATAAAACACCAACTTAAATATGCTATAAGTATCAAGAAAATATCAAGGATTGGCTAAGGCTGGAGGCATAGCTCAAGTGGTAGAGCACTTGCCTAGCAAGCACAAGGCCCTAAATTCAAACTCCAGTATCACCAAAAAGAAGGATTAGCGTTAAAGGTTGAAAATGGAAGGGGGACACAGTGGAGTGAGATGGGGTACTGTTTTTCTGAACAACAAGGTAGCACCATTTGATTTGATGCTATCAATTATATTCAGTCAACTCTAATTGAAAACTAGAAATACAGAGATTACAGAAATGAACAATTTACCAATTTTGATAAAAGGAGAATTATACTATTAAATGTCACTAATTAAACTCAGATTTTTTTCATCTTTAAAAATGTAAATATAGAGAGCTATGGTGGCACAGGCCTATAATCCCAGTGCATGGGAGGCTGAGGCAGGAGGAAAGGAGTTTGAAGCTGGCCTAGAGAAATAGTGAGACCCTGTCTCAAAAAAACAAACAAACAAACAAACAAACAAAAAGAAGGGAGAGGAAGGGAAAGAAGGAGGATACAGAGAAAAAAATTCAGTATTTTCAACGTTGTTAATACCTTCTGATTCTCTTCCACTTCAGTTCTAAGTTCTGAACTCACAGCTGTTTTTGTTATTGCTCTAAGGTAGAAAAATATGATTAGTGCTTGGTTTAACATTTTATATAAATGTCTTCAATTTACCTATTTTTAAGTATGAAATATACTGTTCTATAACAAAAATTGATAATGGACAAATCAAACTTTTACAATTAGTAATATATTTCTCCTCTCTCATATATGTGTATTTTTCATTACTATAAGACACAGCACCAAAGAAAACTAGCATAATGGTATTTGAAAGCAAATATTAAGGGCCAGTGGAGTGGCTCAAATGTTAGTCACCTAACAAGTGTGAGTTCAAACCCCAACACCACCAAAAAAACAAAAACAAACAAAATAGGCTGGATGTGTGGCTAAAGTGGTAGAGTACCTGCTTTACAAGCATGCATACCTGAGTTCAAACTCCAGTCCTACCAAAAATATAAATAAAGCAAATGTAGTGCTTCCACATTCTTAGTTGCACACCTCTTCCCATATTGATCATTACTGCTCACAAACTAAAGGATAATGTTAAATAAACAAAGGCAGCAGATTGCTCATTCTGTTTAAGCATTTATGGTGGAGGAAGACTCCTCCAAATACATCTTCAAGAAGCATGATGAACTAAGAACTCTTAGATAGGACTTATAAATCATATAGTAAAAAATAAACTTATTCATAAAATATCTCACATCAGAAGTCAAAACACTTTACTCAGTGATTCAAGAAAAAGACTGGCAACGATTTATGTCAGCAGTTTCTAAAAATTTGGCTTTTAAAACAAATTTTCCTTTTATTTATGAGACATAAAGTAACATTATACAATAGAAAGCAATGTCAGAAAATTCAAAATATTATTCTGTCACTATGAACAGGTCATTTAGCCTCTCTGGTTCTCAGTATAAAATGATACGCACAGCTTATCATATTTGGAAGCTTCAGGAAGCTACCATCTGTGCCAAACTCTGGATTAGTTACATAGGCATATGCTGCATCTTGTAATTCTAATCCTTTAAAGGCAGGTATTGTTTTTTCAGTCTACTACTGATGAAAGTGAGTAAACAAAGGTGGTTTATCTGCAAAGGTCACACAACTAGTAAGTGGTAATGCTGAGAACATCACCTAGATCTCTTCCTTCAACCATGCAGTTTATGGTCTTACCCTCTTCTCAGAAAAAAAGACACCATCACAATAGTAGCGGTGACAAACAGGAAGCTTTCATTTTCTAAGGATTTCATATTGTAACTACATCATTTGGCATGTATGTAATCGTGAAAATAACTGGGTATAATGTTAAGGAGAAGAGTATATCAAAGTCTTATTCTATTACCTGGCTTTAGTAGGAAAATTCTGACTAAGATCCTTCATAACCACCAATGCTAACTCCACAGGAGCAGCCAAGATTCGAGTAGCAGTCTGGAAACTGAGATCTGCAACAATGCCAAGAATAAGTCAGAGGGCATGAATCTAATACAATGAGACTCAGGAGAAAAAAAAGTTTATTTCTCACTATTTCCTTAGTAATAAAGAATGCCTTAGAATGCAACCATTCCAGAGTGCCCATGGTTTAGTTTGAGGTTTCATTCACTTCATGGATCACTGGAGTTTACACTGAGACATTCCTAATCTAAGTGCATAAAATACCAGGGCACGCCCTAGAACATTTAGCAGAGGCTAACTTGAACCCAAATACTTTTCCTTCTTCTGAATTTACAATATATTACAAAATACAGCATTAAGACATTTAGCAAATTATGTTGGAAAAAAACTTGATAAATCATTCTTGGAACAAAAAGTATACATACATTCTACCCCATACATGCCTTCAAAATTCTACAGATACATAGTTTAAGAGCTGCATAAAAGAAAATCCAAAATAAGAAATGTATACAGGGCTGGAGTTATAGCTCAGTGGTAGAAAAGAAAGCATGCCAACATTTGTGAACTGTGGGTTTACTCTTAGCAACACAAAAATATAAAGAACTATGAAACAGTTTTTAAGTTTAAAACTTAAGAAAATTTTAAAAGAAATGCATACACATAAGAATGTAAAGACAAAATACATATTTCTAGTATTATAGTCTTATGTATCTGCTCCCACAGAGAAATATGTGTCACTCATTTGTAGGTACTACTCTACTCTAATGTTATTTGCCTACAAAAGGACTTCCATCCTTCCCTGATTAATCATAATCATTCTATCTTTAAAACTCTGTGGTACCCTCAGAATCATGTAGATATATCCAATTAAATTTAAATTCTGCAATTTTAATATCACAAAATTTATGGAAAAAGCAGGCAACAATCTTTGAATTTGTGGTACCTTGTAACTGCCAAACTTTCAAAGGTGCCATTTCATTGGTGCTCTCCACAAGATGTTTCCTGAGTTCTTTCAACTGTGCTTTTAAACTGGGGTGTAGGTCTCTGACAGAAACATAAAGTCAATGTTTTTCATTATCTTTCCTATCTTACAGCATACTTAGAAGAGAACTCCAACTTCAACTTCATAATATCCCCTCCCAACCATATAAAAATTTCTTCAATACAGGCAAAAAATTTGAAGAACACTTATTTTCCTTTAAAAATGAATTAATATAGAAAATTATGTTAGTTAGAAAACTGTTAAAGTTATAGATTCAAAAATAAATCATACCATGCATGGTGGTTCACTGTAATCTCAGCACTAAGAAGGCTGAGGCAAGAGGATTATGAGTTCAAGGCCAGCCTAGGGTACATAATGAGATCCTGTCTCAAAACAAAAAAAATACCAAATCACTATAACAGTAATTTCCTGTGGAGTAGAGGGCACAAGACTGAGAGTCCCAAGATGATTTGTTTCAAGCTACATGCTCATAAATTCCTTAGTTATGTGAATACAATTCAAGCTAACCACACTGATGAGAAAATTTCTTGAAATAAAATACAATCTACTTAAAGGTACTAAAACAGTTATCAGAGGCAGAGGTATAACATTTAGATCAGATGGATAGAAGTCTGGGAGATTAGTTTTGTTCATTTAAATTATAGAAATTCAAAATGTCTTAAACTCAACATGTAGAAATTAAAATATCTACTCAGATTCTTTACCTTCCCAACAATCCATTTCCAATTAGTTACTATGAAGCTCTTCATAACAAAAATGCAAAAAAATGGTTCAATTACTTTAGAAACCTAAATAACTGTTCTGATTACTCAAAAGGTAAAGCATCTTCACTATTTCACATGATGTCTCGTCTGTGCTGAGAATGCACAAAATCATAATGCCATCCAAAAAACAAACAAAAAAATGAGTATGAAAAGGCATTCTGAAAACCTGCCTCAAATAAAAATGGAACCTGATTATATAGAGGCCAAAGCTGATGATAAACAAGAAATGTACATACACATAGGATTAACTCAACATGTCAACAGTAATTCAACTTCAAACTTAGACATCATGGCCTAAATTGTTAATATAGTGAAATTATTTCATTGGTCAAATATTAGAGCTGAATTATATGAAAGTAAACTTAACATATATCATTTCTATATGATCACATTCAATTAAAAAAAAAAAAAAGGACACTAACTAGTACCTATCTGAAATTTAGAGATGCAGCAGATTTCAAGCTCTGCACAATTATCAAGCCATGACAGAAATAACCACAACATTTAAAATAACAGTGAAGATTTTCTACTATAAAATACTATGAAATAAATGATTATGGTACTATAAAACATTTTAAATTCCATCATTAAAAACATTTCTCATCCACTTTCATATAAAGTCAAGTCTAGTAAAACACATTTCAAATGAGTATGTTTAAAATCTACTACATATATTTTACTTTATTTTTTTTCTTGAAACAGGGTCTTACTGTGTAGCCCAGGATGACCCAAAAGCCTTGTCCTCCTGCCTAAGCTGCCCAAGTACTAGAATTACAGGTGTGCACCACCATGCACAGCATCTTTTTTCAGATTATGTTTACCATAAGTAAATAACCATGATCACTCTAACTTAAAATACATCAGCACCCCCCCCAACACACGCCCTTTGGGAAAAACAAATTAAGTGAAATAATTTGATTTATCTTATCACTTGATCAAAACATGGTATGTAAGTTTATGCCATCAACTAAGAGGAAAAGATCAATTTAAGCCATAATATTATTCAAGAATACTGTACTTTAGGACACATAGAAATTGCAAACTTTGCTATAAATTAAGTGGGAATGTTTCCCATTTTAGATTATATACGAGAACTATAGCCGGGCACTGTTGTGTCACACCTGCAATCCTAGCTACTGGGAAGGCTGAGATCAGGAGGATCATGGTTTGAAGCAAGTCCAGGCAAATAGAGAAACTCCATTCCAAAATAATCAGAGCAAAATGGACTGGAGTCATGGCTCAAGCGATAGAGCACCTGCTTTGCAAGTGTGAACCCCTGGGTTCAAACCCTAGTCCCACCAAAAACAAATAAAAAACAAAAAAATAAAGAACTATAACTCAGACAGTAATGAGAAAAATGGTACTGGGAATGCAAGTCTGAGGTTTAAGAAAAAAAAGGGTATTTCCCAAAATAAATAGAGTATGCATGCACACCTTAACTTCCCAAAGAGGAATCCCTGAACTTCATCGATAGGGTCATTCTCACCAATCACTGTGGCATTCACCTCAGCTCCTGCAAAACATAGCAATGAATGTCTAATGGCTCAGATTTGAGATGCCAGAACCTTCATAAAATCTGAACATAAAAAAAAAAATTCAGAAGCACCTGAAACTATAATATCATTTATAATGTTAAATACCCCATTAACATTTTGCAATGACATTTAAACAAACAAAATAAATGTGTTTTAACATTTCTTGGATAAAATAAGAATGTATTTTTCCTGTAAAGTTTAGAAAATTTTACATGCTAAAAATTTCAAAATTAGTAGCTTTGAGTGTTATGATCAAAGAATTTTTCAAAGTCAAAATTCTTCGAATTTGAGATTAGGCAACTTAATTCTAAGTATAATTATAGAAAAAACACACTGATTAGGTACTAGTATATATTTCATTTGCTTTACTACTCAAACTGGTCATTTAAAATGAGCTTAAAAGGAAGAATTAAAAGACAACATACAAACTTGTGGTTAAAATAATGAATTCAAAACCTAAAATAATGTATTACAACAGCAAGAATCCACAGTAAACTGTTCCAAGTACAGAAAATATATAAAGGATACAAAATAAAAGTATTCATTAATTATAGGAGTCTTAAGATTTCACACTGAAATCACAAACTGTCTATTTGTAAACCACATAACATCAACAATAGTTTTTTGTTGTTGTTCGATTTTTTTTTTTTTGGTGGTACTGGGGTTTGAACTCAGAGTCTCATGCTTGCTAGACAGGTATTCTACCACTTGAACCACTCCACCAGCTCTTTTTGGCTCTACTTATTTTTCAGGTAGAGACTTGAGTTTTTGCTTGGGTTGACCTGAGCTGAGATTCTTCTATTTACACCTCCCATAGCTAGGATAACAGGTACACACCACTACACCCAGGTTATTTCATTGACATGAAGTCTTGCTAACTTTTCACCAGGGCTGGCCTAGAAAGAAGATCCTCCTGGTCTCTGCCTTCCAAGTAGCTGGGATTACAGGCGTGAGCAAAAAAAACTCAGCTTATAGTTAACTTTTTTTGGCAAAAACTATGCTAATTTTTTGTTTTTTTCTTTGTCGTTGCTGCTACTTTTAGGAAAGGTCTCACTATGTAGTACAAGCTGGCCTTCATCCTCCTGCCTCAGCTTCCTAAGTGCTGGGATTACAGGTGTATACCAACACACCTAACTTAAATTCCTTACTTTTATATCTTACTTATTCCTCCAAATACTTGAAGGAGAATATTATCATTACCTGCATTGTACAGAGGAGATAATTAAGACATAGAAAATTTGCTGAGCGTCACTCACTTAGATGTAACAGAACCAGGATTCAAACATAGGTTCATCATATTCCTAAACCTGTTCTTTTTCATTATTACATCAAACTACCATTTTCTTTTTTGGGGAAGTCCTAAGGCTTGAACTCAGGGCTTTGGACTTGCTAGGTAAGCACTCTACCACTTGAGTCATTCCACCAACCCGAAATTACCTTTAACTCATATTTAAAGAAAAGAAAATACATTCGTTTTATTTTTTCAAATTCACCTTTCACCTGAGTATCATCCTTGGCCTTGTACTCAGTGCTCTTAATGGCCAATTCCACGCCATACCCAGAAAGATAAACTGGCTCCTTCTTGGGATTCTGCAAATAACACAAGTATCCCATCATTACTACTTGTAAGCCACAGAATACTCAATGCAACCTTGTAAACACTGCATCTAGTAGCCATCACCTTGGACTGTGTACTCAAATATCTTTATGCTTATTTTCTTAGCAATAGTAACTGTGTAATTAAGAGAGTTCACTGAATACCAACAGTAATAAAAGCACTTACCTAATAGTCGTTCTGTTTAAAAAAAAAAAATCAATTCAGAGTTTGTATTTCTATAACTTCCTTTACATTTTGTGTCCTGCTGTAACTGTGAGAATGAGAATTCTAAGGTCCAAGTAAAACCAGATGATGGATGGCTGTAAGGGTAAAGGTCCCAAACCATGAAAGGAAATGAATGAGAAAAAGAAGTTTCAGAACCTATAGAGCAGAGTTGAAAACTGATGAGGTCTCAGACCCAGATATGCTTTGTTGGTATCATATGCATGTATGTATAATTTTTATTGAATTAAAATGCTTCAAGCAGGGCTTATGCTGACCAAATGTCATAGGCTCACCACCATGCTAACTGACAATGGCCCTTTAGATGTTTTAATCCTTAATACCAGCAAAAGGTCTAGGGGACAGACAGAGGAAGAGGGGTTGTCAAGAACTGGACTTTGATAAATCCATTTCTGCTCACTGAAATTTTCATTTAAAATTTTTATTTTATTTTATTTTGACTGGTTACCACCCAATATTTACTTTGAAGGCTAATACTATTTACATATATTTTAAATACTACATCTTACAACAAGCTTTAATTTTAAATTAATTCTGTCTGATTTCACTTCTTTAAAACTTCTCCCCCTCTACCAAACATAAAGGTACCAAAAAGAAAAAGGGGAAAAATAGTTCGAAAAAGAACTGAATTTAAATATCAATTCTATAGTATGGTGGCTACATTAAATTTATAAAAGATTGTTTACATGGTTTATTTCAGAATAAAATATAAACTATTATGTCACTATTAGTAACACTGTTTTATGTTTCTCCAGAGAGACAAGCAAGGCATTACCTATGTGCAAATAATAAATCTGTTGGAAAGAATCTGATCTCTCAAAAAAGTAATACAAATAACTGTTTGTAAAGAGGGAAATTATTAGCTTGTGTTCTAAGGCCATGTTGGATAAATACTTATAACAGTTGTAAAATACATCAATACTTACAGATATATAATGTCTGAATACATAATTGATTTTCCCTGCATTGCTTTTTGATATAAGTTGGCGGTGGAAATTAGAAAATTCTTCATAGCCAATCTCAGAGTAGAAAATCACCACTGGGCTTTCGGGATTAGTTGAGGGATATCTGTGATCTCCTTTGAACAATAAAGGTTTGGGTCTGGAAACAAATGTTAAAAGCTTACATTTTTCAATTAAAAATTTTTAAACACTAAGAACCAATATAAAATGTAACGTATAGCTATGATAACTTAAGATTACAAGCATCTTAATATAAAGGATATCACAGTCCTAAATAGTTTCCACTTAGGATATTGTCAGGTACAAATCTTACTTGTTCATGATTACAAAAAATAAAAGCATATTACATAAATAATAACTATAAAATGTAGACTTTGGTTAATTGCTAGCAAATTATAGAAAAGAAAAAAGGCAGAAAAATGCATGTATAGCTTGTATGTACCAAGCTATAGTTTATTTTTCTATATATAGGGTATGACAAAAAGAGGATGACTCTGAGCATATAACTTGCTAATTTCAGTAAATCTCTCTCCTCTATTATTTTTTACTACTATGATCTTTCTACTAATGGATTTACCATTTCAGTAAAACTTCTCAAAAAAACTTCTCTAAAGTTGTTACTGATATTAATAAATCTTAATGTATAACCCTTCCAATCCCTATTATGATAAACTATTAAATAGAAGGCAAAGACATATGAATAAAGATGCTCATTATAATATTTTTAAAATAGAAAGAAAATGGAAATGATTTTTAAAAACCACCAGTAAGACATCCTTACATAGGGTACTATGCGTGTGTTAAAAATACTGAGGTAAACCTACATGTACTGAAAGGAAATATGCCTCTTGTAAAAACAAACCTATCTACTTGTATAAATTTAAACCAATAAAAACTATCAGGATAAATGGCAAACCATTAAAACTAGTTACCACCTCTCAGAAGAGATGTCATCACTCTTTTCTCTATAAATATCTGCATTATGGTTGTGACACATTAAGCAAAATTTTAAAAGAATTAAAAAATCATCAATTGTGTTTCTCCCAAGAAACACAATTCACCAGGCAACCATTCTCAAATGCCAATACCCTGACCCCGAGCTGGCTGAAATATATACTGTGTTTATTGGTTGTCACCCTAAGAAGCACTAATGCCATGTGGTGGGCAAAGGACATATGTTGGGCAGACAAGCCCCTAAAGAGGACTTATGACTCTAGGGGTTGACCAGTAGGAGGGGGGGAAGACAAAAGAAGAGAGTACTGGGGACAGAAAGGATGTTACAAACCATATACATACACGACAGCATAATGAAACCCACCAAACACTGTTTGAAAAAGAAGGGAGAGGAGGAAGTGGACTTAAAAGAATTATAACTGAGGAGTGAACTGTTCAAAGTACACTGTACACATTTATGGAATTATCACAATAAAACCCCCTGTACTATTAGTGTATATTAATATAAAATTGCTTTAAAAAAACACCACTGACAAGGTCACCAGGATTTCTGATAGAGCAGACCATCTGCCACATTGTATCTACAGCAGCATTAGAAGAGGTACAGAGGAGTGAGTCACCGCTGTAACAGACAGCAAAACAGGTACTTATTACAGCAGTCCACTAACTATAGGGAACCTAAACCTCTTTAGGCAAAAGGCTGGTTCATTCGTTACCAATTTAATATTGAAATCAAGTTTGCCGTTATTTTTTAAATATTCTCACTTGTCTGTAGCTAATACCCTGAGAGATTGTCAACACTAGTATCACTACTTCAAGCATAGGCTTTCATATACAATTTTCCCTGCTAAACTAATGATAAACCTACTTAATCTCTCAGATATAGTTACTAAATTAATAAGACATTAAATACTGTTATTATCTCCATTTTGAAACAAGAAGAGGAAAGAAAGTAATTTGCCTCCTCTCACAAAACTATCTTAAGTGAGTGAGCTGAGATTCGTATCTAGTAAGACAGGGTTCAGAATTATACCCAAAACTACGATACCTATAGACTACAAAAAAGAAAAATCAGAAGGTGGGCTTGATACAAAAAAGCACAAAGAAATGCATCCATTTCAATGAACAAACACACAACTTACCTTTCAGATGCTGTTAGTAGAAGAGTCTCCAGGGAAGCAAAATCACAAGTCTTCTTTCCATGAACTGAAAAAAATGAACTACATCCTTCTGGTGGAGGCTCATCAGCTGCTATCTGTCACATGAGACACAATGTGTATTTTTTTATAATTTCTAACCAAAGATAAAATAGCAACATGAATATTCTAGATATGATTAAATTAAAATTAGGTACCACCAACAAAAGCAAGAACTGCTATCTGCGGAGCACCTGCTCTGGGCTAGACAAGTAAGATCTCAGTGGGCCGGTGCTCTCCTTGATTATGTTGCTTGGTTCCTCCCGTTTCTCCACAGGAGGTAGGTGTTAGTGTTATCCTCCCAACAGAACGTTTTAATTCTCTCTCAGAAGACTGACAAAAGATACCCAGGAATACAGCATGTGCCTTATAATACAAGATGCACCAATTTTAAATACGAAGGTATAACTATGCTATCCTAATTAAGGACAATAAGCAAGTTAATATAAAGCCCCTCATTGAAGTAGGAAAAATTACATAGAATCTAGAAAAACAAGCCCAGCATGGTGGCAAACACTTAAAATTTCAGCATGCAAGAGGTGGAAACCTGAGAATTGCAGGTTTGAGACCACCCTAGGCTACTCAGTAGGACCCTATCTCAAAAAAAAAGAAAAGAAAAGAACAAGAAATTTTTAAATAAAAATTAAAAACTGGCTGAGCCAAAAGAGAAAAAAGAAACAGAATGAAAGGTAAAATTATATGTGGTGCATGGTAGATACTCAAGGGAACTCCTGAATGAGATGAGTGTATGTGGGGTGTAAAATACATTAACGCCAGCAAATGGGGAGACAAGTCAATCCGCAACTTTAAGAGATGCACTATGAAAAGAGTGAGCATGAGACAGGGAAAAGAAACAATGTAATGACAAGCACTAGTACACGCATTGGTGTCATGCATGTACTATATCAATATTAAGATGTCTTTTTTTTCCTTTCTTTCACCCGAGAACACTTTTTTTTTTTTTGGCGACACTGGGGTTTGAACTCAGGGCCTCACATTTGCTAGGCAGGTGCTCCACCACTTGAGCCACTTTACTGGCCCTGTGTTGTGATGGGTTTTTTGAGATAGGGTCTTGAGAACTGTTTGCCAGGACTGCTGGCTTCAAACCATGATCCTCCTGATCTCTGCCTCCTGGATAGCTAGGATTATAGTTGTGAGACACCAGCACCTGGCCCTAGCACCATTTTTTTTTTATTAGTTTCTCAATCATCATCTGGAAAGAAAACATTCTAGAGTAACATCATTACAAACAGCTATGAAAAAAACATGATTACCACTATGTACCACATTACCACTACGTACCACAAAGCAGGTATAAGATATTTTACATTCACAGAGAAATGATACACTGCTGGCCTGCATTAATATTATTAAAGGATACCATTTTAAAACATTATTTGAGACTTGATCCTACTTTTCAAGCAGAGGGCCCAAAGGATATTAAGAAATGCACTTTCTGCAATCCAAAGCAAAACGAGCAATGCTGGAGGGTAACACAATACCTGACTTCAAACTATACCAAAGAGCCATAGTAACAAAAACAGCATGGATGGGTTATCCATCCATGGTGTGACTCAAGTCATAGAGCACCTGCCTAGCAAGCACAAAGCCCTGAGTTCAAACCCCCAGTACTAAGAAAAAAGCAAAAAACAGCATAGTACTTGCACAAAAACAGTCACGTATGACTGATGAAACAGAAGACCAAAAATAAACCCACACTGTTATAGACATTTGATTTTTGACAAAAGTGGCAAAACCATACATTGGAGAAAAGACAGCCTTTTTTTTTTTTTTAAGCATTGCCCATTGAATCCATCTTTTTTTTTTTTATTTTAATTTTTTTTGTTTTATTATTCATATGTGCATACAAGGCTTAGGTCATTTCTCCCCCCTGCCCCCATCCCCTCCCTTACCACCCACTCCGCCCCCTCCCTCTCCCCCCACTCAATACCCGGCAGAAACTATTTTGCCCTTATCTCTAATTTTGTTGAACAGAGAGTATAAGCAATAATAGAAAGGAACAAGTGTTTTTGCTGGTTGAGATAAGGGTAGCTATACAGGGAGTTGACTCACATTAATTTCCTGTGCATGTGTGTTACCTTCTAGGTTAATTCAAAAAGACAGCCTCTTAATAAGATGGTTAACACTAGATCCCTATCTCTCACCCTGTATTAAAACCAATTCAAAAACAAATCAAAGACCTTAATGTGAGACCTGAAACTACTACTAAGATACAGGAATAGGCAACAACTTCCTTCCTAGGTCTCCAACAGCTCAGAAATAAAAGCAAGGATTGACAAATGGGATTGTACCAAACTAAAAAGCTTCTAAATAGCAAAGGAAACAGCTTCTAGATGAATAGAGAACCCACAAAATGGTAGAAAAACTTTGCCAGCTATTTATCTGGCAAGAAATTAACAACCAGAATATACAAAGAGCTCAAGAAACCAAACTCCAAGTCAGACAATGCCTCAAGCCTGTAATCTTAGCTACTTGGCAGGCAAATATTGGGAGGACTGCAGTTCTCAGTCAGCAAAAAGTTCTTAAGACCGCCTCTCAACCAATGGCTGTGTACAGTGGCACGTGCCTGTCATCCCAGTTATGCAGGAAGCACAAATATGACAATAATGGTCTAGGTTAGCCAAGCATAAAGTAAGACCCTATATCAAAAATAATGAATGCAGCCAGATGCTGGTGGCTCACATCTATAATCCTAGCTACTTGGGAGGGTGAGATCAAGAGGCTCACAGTTTGAGGCCAGTCTGGAGAAACAGGTCTTGAGACCCCATCAACAAAATAACCAGAACAAAATGGACTAGAGGCATGGCTCAAGAGGTAGAGAACTACTTTGCAAGAGAAAAGCCCTGACTGAGTTCAAACCCCAGTCTCACCAAAAATTAAAACTTGAGTATGCTCAAGTGGTAGAGCACCTGCCTACCAAGTACAAGGCCCTGAGTTCAACCCATAGTACCACCTGCCCACAAAACAAACTAAACTCCAAAAGAACTGACAACCACTAATAAGTGGACAAATGAATTGAACAGACAATTCTCAAAAGAAGTACAAATGGCCAATAAATACATGAAGAAATGTTCCTTAGCCATAAATGCAAATCAAAAGTATACTGAGATTTAATCTTAAGCCAGTCAGAATGTCAGTCATCAAGAAAACGAACAGCAAGGACTAATGGAGTGGGTCAAGCCGCACAGTGCCTGCCTAGAATGCATGAGGCCAAGTTCAATCCCCAATACTTACAAAAAAAAAAAAAGAAAGAGAGTGAGAGAAAACAAAACAAAGCAACAACAAATGCTGGTAAGGATAAGGGGAAAAAAGAACCCTTGTACACTGCTGGTGGAAAGGTAAATTAGTACAACCACTATGGCAATCAGTATGGTGATTCCTCAAAAAACTAAAAACAGAACTATCATATGATCCAGGAATACCACTCTTGGCCATACGCCTAAAGGAATGTAGGTAAGGATACAACAGAAGCACCTGCACACCCATGTTTATTGCAAAACTATTTATAATAGTCAAGCTGTGGAATCAGCCTTAGATGTCCTTCAACAGATGAACAGATGAAGAAAATTTTGTAAATATCCAAAATGGAGTAGTATTCAGCTGTAAAGAAGAATGAAATTACATCATTTGCAGGAAAATGGATGGAACTGGAAATCACCATGATAAGCAAATAAGCCAGGTTCAGAAAGAAAAATATTGTGTGTTTTCCTCCAGAATCCAGACTAAATAAATGTAATTAGTCGTATATATATATATATATATATGTATACACACACACACACACACACACACACACACACACACACACACACATATACGTATTATATACATATATACACACACATACATATACATATATATATGACTATTTGGGGGAAACAAGCAGGAGGGGGAGAAGGAAAGAGAATGATGAAGGAGTAAATAATATTGAAGTACGTTTTATCTATGTATGAGGATGGTGTAAAAAAACTAATCAAAAATTCCTAAAAAAAAAAAAAAGTAGGGGGGAGGAGGGTATGAGGAAAAGACCAACAAAGGGGATTAATCTAATCAAAGTACAATATACACGTGTATGGAAATATTATGGTGAAACACCTTTGTATAATTAATATACATAATAAAAATGTTTTTAATTCTAAAAAACTGCACTCTCTTATATAGGATTTCCTTTCATGAACAGCACAGTTCTGTAAGTACTTACTTCTTTTCATAAACACCAGCAAAAAGTCATTTTTTAAAAGCCAGCTACTGGATTCATATGAAGATGACCAAATGGAGACAGGTTAAGACTCAACCTAACTAGTATTTTATCAAATTTGAAGTGCATGGAAGAAAGGAGATGCCCAGTAACACTTAGAAGCTTCAGACCACAATCAAAACAGAGCATCATTTCAAACAGAAGCAATAGCCAAACACTGCTCATCTGGATCTGTTCAAATGCGCTGACATCAACATTTAATCATCTGCTTACTCAAGATGTACTTTTCTACATATGTAATACAAACAATTAAGGAAAGATAGGCAGAAATGGAAAGCTTGCTGTGAAAAACTGATACTATTAAATTTTTCATTTCTTCCTATTTTTCTGATAAATTATTACGAAGAAGTAAAAAACAAAAAAAGAATAGTATAATAAATCCTCATGTTGCCATCACTCAAATTCAGTAATTACCAACTCATGGCCAATCTTACTTCATTTACCTTTCCACCACACTCCTGGATCATTCTGACACAGATACCAACTAACGCACTGCAATTGTGATGCTTTAGTATATACCAATAAAAGAGTTACTTTAGCAACAACTGTAATCGCAGCTACTCAGGAGGCTGAGAGGAAACAGGATCGGAAGACTTGAGACCAGCTGGGGCAGTTACCAAGACCCTATTTCAAAAACAAATAAAAAAGCAAAAGGGCTTAGGGCATAGCTCAAGTGGTATTGCACTTGCCTAGCATGCTAGATTCGATTTCCAGCACTTCAAGTAAGTAAATTGGATGTTTTAAAAACATACCATTATCACAATTTTTAAAAAAATCAAT